TGGTAGAAGTAGTACTTCATCTGGTAGTTCTCGGGCAGGCAGAGGAGGTTGCAGTGCTGCATGTTCATCAGGTCGCCCGGACGGGCATTGCGGATGTTCATAATGGCGGCGGTGCGCAAGGCGCCGCCCTGCCCTCTGCGAGCCGGAGAGACTGCGCCGAGCGCGGGACACCGTCGGTCTTGGGGAACGGAGTCCTGGAAGCCAAGACCGCGGCTGCGCGCGGCGGCGAGCGGAGGGCGGGAAGGCAGGCCGGAAGCGGAAGGGGCGGGGCCAACGCTACCGGAAGTGCGCGGCCCAGCCAGTGAGGGCTCCGCTTCCTTGTGCCTGCGCGGGAAGAGTTGGCTTGTCTCCTTAGTTGAGAGGAAAGGTTAGGATATGCCTGCCGTTATTCTTTTGTTTCGACCATCACTGTTTCAATATAAGCATATGTAGGTACATTTTTAACAAGCTGAGCCGACCTAATAACCAGGATTTAGATGAAGAACTAGAATATTGCATGCAATCCAAGAGCCCTCCACTGTTACCTTCTGCTGTGGGTCACCCTCCGTGTCCGTACACCATCTTTAGACTTTTAACAGACTTGAATATATGTATTCTGTTTAGGTAAAATTTTTACCCCCTCATTTGCTATCAGTCAATTTCAGCCACCTTGTGTATAATTTGAGAGTTTATTTTACCCTTTCTTGATACTTCATTGCCAAAACATATTACATTTGTGTTAGGCATTTCCAGTTGAATATAACTCAAACATTTTAGGATTCAAGTTCCCCGAACTTGCAATACTTCTAGCTGTTGTAGATTCATTTGTATTTACTTAGATCTAGCATTACTAGCCGGACATGGTGGCACACACCTGTAATCCCAACTTTGCAAGTGATTGTGCCAGTCCGGGTGCCCCTTCTCCTATTTATTTATTTACTTATTTATTCCTTTCTTGTGTATGGTAGATATGCCACATGGTGTTTATTTTACAAGTCTCTGATGACTATTGAAGTTGTGTAATTTTATACAAGTTTATTAGCCATCTTACATGCTCTTTGGGGAAATGGCTGCTAAGGTCTATGTTCATTTTTCTGTTGGGTTGTGTCTTGCACATATTTAAGAAGCTAGATAATAAATATCCTCTTATACTGGTTGATTTTTTTCTTCTCTGAACTTGTAATACTTCTGGCACAGTTTCCAAGAATGCTATGATTATCTGTATAATTCGTTTAAAGTATGAATTACAAACTTTATTTCCTTCTCTCTTTTAATGGAGTTTGCTTTAAATCTTACGAAGAGATTTTACCTAATTTTTTTTATCCTTTTTGTTCTGAATTTTTGTGTCAGTGTAGCAGATATGCATCATGAATAAATATGTGAAGTTCTCTAAACATTTATTTAAACAAAGTTTACTCATCTATAGGAATAAATCTAATACTTAAAAGTGATCACATTGATAATAGCTATATTTTGTGTCTTTTTTTTTGTATTTTTATGGAAGAGTCTACAGGGTATTCAGGATCTCACTACTAGATTGAACTCATAGTGATCAGTCTGCTTACAGCCTCCCAAGAGCTGGGATTATGGGCGTGTGTCACCACACCCAGTCTCAATTACCATCTCAATGCGCCTGAGGGGGCTGGGGCTGGCATGGCAGTCCCAGGTATCTAATCTCTGGCCCTGGTGCCTGTTTGCAGGCGATTTAATCCTCTGAAATATTTGGCCGGCCCTTATATTTTGTGTCTTGACTGGACTTCCTAAAAGGTAGGATTAGCAAAAACTGAAGACAAAGCAGACTCATTAGAAGTGTATCAATTATCTGTTATTTTTACTGTCATTTCATTTGTCTGCTTTCTTCAATCAAAGAATAGGAAAGGAAGATGAAGTTCCTGTGGACACACCCAATTTGGGAAGAAGAGACAAACTATTAAGTGGAAAGTCTGTTTATGTTTGTTTGATTCTGCTTAATCAAGAGTCTGAGGTTAGAGGCCGGGGAGATAGCTCAGTAGAGTAAGTGCTTGCCTGGCAAGCGCAAGGGCCTGAGTTCAATCCCTAGTTCGGGGGGGCGGGGGGAAGGAAATCTGAGGTTAAATATTAAATGCAGGTGACAATAAGGATGGTTTTCAGCAGCAATTAGTTGGACCAAGAAAAGGAAAATGGTAGTTCCTGTGACTTCAGTGAAAGCCAAAATATTTTCATGTTGCAGATGTTAGGATAGCAATGCAGTTTTTTATAAGGGAACTGTGTAACATATAAAAATTCATCAATAAATGGATAAGTAGACATTTTTATGCCTACTGAAGTATTGTCTTCTTTATTGTCCACAATCATAAACAATACAAAGCTTATAAATTCAATCCTGTGGGCAAGCAAGAACAGATAGTAAATGAACTTCTATATTCATGTTACTGCATATTCTAAAAACACTTTTTTTCTGAAAATGCTGCTGACATGACATATATGCATAAATATGAGATAAAAATTTTGAAAAAAAGTCATCTCGAAGTTAATACTGTATCTAACATGTGAATAGTGGACAAAAGGCAGTCAAAAGACTATCCTTACATTTAAAGAGGAGAGAAAAGAAGCTGGGTTTAATATGAGCCCATGAAAACAGAAATAGTAACACTATGCTTTTTTTAAAAAAATCACTTAATTTATTTATTTCTTCATTTGATACAAGGTCTTGCTATGCAACTTGGACTTGGAGTGATCCTCCTTCTCAGCTTCTCCTTTGCTGGAATTATAGGTGTACACCACCACGCCTGGTTTTGATGGCTGGCTCACTGTGGGGCTGGCACAGCATGTAGTACTAGGGATTGAACCAGGGCCCTTGTGCTTTCCAGGCAGGTGCTTAGACAATGAAGCTATCTCCCCCAGCGTGCATTGCATTTTTTTGTTCAGCTAACATTAGAATGTGATTTTGTCTTTGGGAGTGTTGTGACACTACTGGCTGTAGACAAAGAGGTGCTTAAGAGCAAAGTAGTAGAAGCCTCAGTCAGAATAGCAGTTGTAGGCAATGGGAGAAAGCAAACTCATATTAAATAATGCATTACTCTTTGTTTTCGGTATCTGTGTTAACACCTACAACAATTCCTTTTTCCTTTTTTACAAAGGATACATGGGCTATAACGTTATCTGGTGTTCTTGAGAAGGTTGCTTGAAAGTAGAAAAAAAAAAAGTCTTTGGCTTTTTGTGACAATAGTCACAGCTCTGGGATGCTTGTTTAATTTGAATGCAATGAAAACTTTGGATTAGAGGCATATACAGCATGCAGTTTCGCAGTTGCTGGCTTTACCCAAGACTGTGGACACTTGAGAAATTTGAGTAGGTCTTGGGCCCTTGAAGATAATTTGTATCCTGGACAAGGACCTTACTTCTGTCAGTTAAGTATGCAATGTTCTAAAAAGGTAGAGAAATAACCCTGTCTTTATAGTAAAAAGATCTAGATAAGAAGTGAGATTTCCAGAAAGGGAGTGGCTAATAGAAGTTTATCAATATCTTTGATAAAGACAGAATTTTTAATAAAAAATTATGCAAATGCTTTTTCCAAATTTGGAGGAAAAAGAAAAGCTTTCATCAGATCCTCAAGGATCTTGGGTCAGTGTAAACTGGAAGTCTGCATGATCCACTAGTTGTATTGGAAAATAAATTACAAAGACTTTTATATAATATATTTAATAGCATACTTAGGAGATGCAGGATAACAAAAGGATAGCATTACCATTTTCTGGGGTTCTTTCTAGGGTCTTGCCATCCTCCACAAAGAATTTGTCAAGACACATGCAAAAGTTACATTTATGGCTTTACATTTATTAAAGCTAGCAAAACAGTATGCTCTGCAAAGTCACTCAGGCCAATTAAGAAGTATGCACTATTCATAGTGAAAATGGCCACTGAAGAAAGCAAACACAGTGGTGATGAGGTTAATGGCTGCTGTCTTATATACCTCCTATTCTTCAGGTTGATGTCAGTGGCTGTCCTATGCTTAATTTTGTACCAGAAGAATTGAAGGTAACACTTTCTGATTGGGCTCAAGAGCAGTGCTTGAAAACTGTTCTGCACACCCCTTGCCCAGCCAGCTGGCCACCCCTAATCTCCTGCCATAATAAAGCTGGATTCTGAAGCTGCTCACAGAGCAGTCTGAAAATGAATGCCAGAGGCTTTGTATCTTGGCTAAAAGACTATTCTAGTTACTGAACTTTCAGCAAGTGGGCCTTTAGAATGTCATGATATTATTTTATCTTTTTAATCACCTATTTATTTGGTACAGGGTCTCATTACACAGCTCAGACTCATAGTAATCCTTCTATCTCAGCCTTCCCAGTGCTGATATTATAGGTGTGCCCCACCATGCCCAATTTGGTGGCTGGCCAGGCAAGAGCCTGCATGGCACGTGGTAACGGGGATCAAACCCTGGTGTTTGTGCTTGCCAAGAGGAGCTTAGACTTCTGGGCTCCCCAGCTCATCATGATCTTCTTAGGAAAGGTTTTTCTTATGTTAAAAAAATAAACTTTTGCTGGACTGGGGAGATTCCTAGATAGCATAAGAACCTGGCTGGCAAGCACAAAGTCCTGAGTTTGATCCCCAGTACTGCGTGCCATGCAGGCTCCAGAATGAGGCATGGTGGCACACATATGTAATATCTGCACTGGGGAAGCTGAAATGGGAGGATCACTACGAGTCCAAGC